AGAGAGAGAGAGAGAGAGAGAGAGAGAGAGAGAGAGAGAGAGAGAGAGAGAGAGAGAGAGAGAGAACGACAGACAGAGGAGCAAGAGCGATAGAAAACTTGTCGAAACCATACCAGTAGAAGTAGTTGGAGAGGCTGACGTTTTGGCACGCCCTAGAGATGAGGAATGTAGCTAAATCCTCATCCCCATACGCTTGCTTCATCTGCTCCGACCCTGCGACAGAACTCACGTCGCTGCCCGCCCCACCAGGGGGCACCAGTGTAACGAGGGGGTTAGCCGCGGCTGGTGAGGTGGAAGGTGGCTCCGACGTACTACTGCCTGACCTGTGTGGAAACACGCAGGGATTCAACACAAACACTACGAAACAATGTATAATCATTCGTATGATTATAACGATGATGATAATGACGACGATAATTATGATAACAATAATAAAAATAATAATAACAATAACATGAGAATAGATTTAGAGATGGTTTTCTATCTTTAGAATAGAAACAAATAACACCTATAATATGTACTACTGTATACGCGATATTTATTGCGTACAGATATTTTCGCGAATTCAGACTAGACGGACAATTTCGCGAGTGGTTAATTTCGCGGTCGGTGAATTATGAATTTTTCGGTATTATTAGGTACAAATTATTCACATGTTATTTTCGCTGTCGGCGACGTGTTCGCGAATTTCGCCAAACCACAGCGAAATATACAGCGTATACAGTAACTTCCGTAGAGGCTTTTCACCACTAAAATGTTGCAGATTCTGTTTCACAGGATGACTGGTGAGGCAGTAATGTAAAGTGAAGGCGAGTGTGAGGAAAATTCTCAGACAGGTGCCTAAAGAAAGAAACAAAGGACCAAAAACTAACACGACCAGAACCGAAATCCCGAGGATGTAGTCGGAAAAAGAACAGAATGATAATGGTTTGAAGATCATCACTCACTTTTCGTTCTCTCTGAAGGGACTCGGTGCTTTGACTCGAGCTTTCTCCTCCAAGCGGGGCTTCTCGGCTAGCACAGGCTTCTCCGGTAGCGCAGGTTTCTCCGGAAGAGCAGGTTTCTCTGCTACGACCTGCTCACAGTTCTCGTACTTGAGGGCTTGTACCAGCTGTAGGAGGTACGTGTTCAGATCCTACGCACCCGGTTAAACACACAAGCAGAATTAGAGGAGAGTACTGATATCTCTTAATATTTCTGATATTTACTGATATCTCTAGAATTCGTTATATCTGCTAGGAAACAACACCAGCGCGCGTCTTTTTTTATACTTTAGAATGTGCAATAACTTGAGGTATGAGATAATCTCCACCTCAAGCATGATAACTATGCTCTAGCCTCTCAGAAGTGAACTTAAATTGACTACGTCACGAATTTTCTATGGTGTATATTTGTATAAAAAAAAATTTTAACGGGACTAAATATAGCGTCAAATTCTTACCTGATAAGATTGTTTTTCAACTAGTTAAAAATCCAAAAAACCTGGATGATTTGATCCTGACATTAATTGCTTGCTATGGGCTATGTATGAGTCACGAGTGTACGTTTACATCGAACAATATAGTAAAATTGAAAGTATAACGCAGCAATTTAACATAAAAAGTGAACAGAATTACTTACATTTTGTGAAAAATTGGAAATATTTTTTTCATTTACTATTTACGGGGACGTAATCACTTTAAGAAGAAGAGCTGCACCTGGAGCGATACAATGGAGCGGAAGGCAACCAACCGAGCGACATGCAGGAGGTTTACCAATGACCAGCTGTCTACCCCAGGAGACTGAAGGGTCTCTAAGAAGAAGAAGAATCTCACAGGTGTATTTATAGTTTATAGTACACACACAGAGCAAGGACAGTCAGTCAGTCACCCGTCGCTATCCATCCTACCCTGGTCTGGTTGTATCTGACACTGCCCTGATCCTGCTATATCCTGCTCCTCCACACCCCATCATGCCATGCCCCATCACATACAGGGTTCTCCCAGGAATGTCTCCTCGAAAAGCACGTCATTTATGAATGGAAGGAAAGGGCCCGAGAGGGAATTACACCTATTAGAGTATTTTTATGCGTATCGTACACGGCCCCAATGCACGGGTGAACTCGATCACTTTGGAGACATATACATCAAGCTCTGAAAACATGGCATGACTGTGCTGAAAAGTGACTATGGCTGAAGAGAAAGGCATGTTGATTACACAATTAGAGCACGCCAATAGATTCATGGGCTGCTGCAAATTCGCTTGAGCTTTGAAGGAATGACGGACCTGGCATACGTTAAAAGACGTAGCAAGAACCCTGCCCCCTGTCCTGCCTCACTCAACCACTCCCCATCCCATGCCCTGCCCATCCCTGCCTCACTCAACCACTCCCCATCCCATGCCCTGCCCATCCCTGCCTCACTCAACCACTCCCCATCCCATGCCCTGCCCATCCCCGCGCCCTCCATCACCCTGCCCACACCTCTGCATCATCTCTGCCCTGCCCACACCCACCCCACCTCACCCACCCCTGCCTTGGCTTACCCTGCATCACCTCGTTTTCGCTCCGCCAATGCTACCTTATCACTGCCCCCACACACATCCC